CGACCAATCATTTTAGCCGTGCCGTGCTAAAATGATTGGATGGCCTACCTGCCTGTCAGCCTTCCATCTGTGCACAAACTTATCTCGTGCCCTCATTGGTCATGTGCGCGTTCGAGTGTGTTGGAGGAGGGGCTCTGTAAGGAAGTGGCAGATTTTCTCCGGTTGTGTATTTTCAAATTCTAGCGATCTCGAGCCGGTTTCTCCAAAATTACCTACCCCACCTTTAAATAAAAAAAAATATATATAGCAGTATTTACATTGAAATAGAAAAAAGACAAATTCTGAGAAAAAGTCAAATTCTGAGTAATTTAGAGTAAAATGTTTTAATTCTGACAATAAAGTAAAATATCGAGTAAAAAAGTGAAATTCTGACAAAAAAGTGAAATTTCAAGAAAATAAAGTGAAATCTGAAAAAAAAGTCAAAATCTGAGAAAAAAGTGAAATCTGAGAAAAAAGTGAAATTCTGAGAAAAAAGTGAAATTCTGAGGAAAAAGTGAAATTCTGAAGAAAAAACTAGTGAAGTAATTTCCTCTAAATTCACCAAAAGTGAGCATCCCATCTCTTTTCAGAAGTTACAGAAGTTACATTGGATAAAATGACAGATTTGTGCTGAGCTTTGTGTGTTTTCGGTTAAAAAACAATCCCATATCTGCCTCCCAGAAACTAGGATTGAAAATAACTTGTAATAAAAACATTGGAGGGTTATTAATGGAGAGGAGGGTCCCTGGATATTTGGGCAGAGCAAAGCATGCTGGGTAAAATAACACAACTCCTCTGTTTGGATTTAATGTGGATCAAATGGTCAGATTTTCCATATTTAACTAGAAGAGGACATTACAGTCGCTCTCTTTGTTTTGTACCGTCACTACATGTCTAAATAAACTACTTAACTACACCTCCCAGAAGACATTCAAAAAGTGTAGAAAGATGTATTCAAGCGACCAGATGTCAAAAACATGGAAACAGGAAAACATTCATCATAGTTCATCCTCAGGGGAGCATGAAGAACAAAGCAGCAGCCATCTGTTTACTTCTTTCTCAACACAAATAACACAATTTCGTCACGAAAAACACGTTTTTTCAACTAAAAACACAACAATTTTGTAAGAATGACACTTTATTGGTCAAACAAAGCCTTAAATTAGCTAATGATGTGTAACCATAATGAGAAAGGAACCTCTTCCCGTAACAAATCACTTTTTAAAACCAAAACCCTGAAGTCTCTCTAATCCTTACCAAGTACTTTAAACCCAACCAACTCTCTTAGATCAGATGTGTTTCCCCCGCAGTGCTTCGTAATGTTTTTGAAATGCTATTCTGTCTCCATTACTTCATGCTCTCTGTGTTTTCTGCAGCTACAGATCACAGAAAGTTCCCCGCAGAGCTTTCTGGTTAAAGATCTATGAAGTTAATGTCCTCTAATGCTTCCTGAAACAAGCGTTCACTTCGCTGAGGATGAAGGGACTCATAACTCTGACTCTGACTCGTGAAGGCAGAGACTCATGAGTCACTTTTAGACTCAACATAAACACCTTTGTTCCTGACGGACAGCATGTTGCCCCTTATCGTCAGAGGTGGGAAGTATTGGAGTACAAATACTTCGTTACTGTACTTAAGTACATTTCTGGTATCAGTACTTTACTCCACGACTTATTTTTCAGACAACTTTTTACTTTGACTTCTTACATGTTGAACTCAAATACCTGTACTTTCTACTTCTTACATGTTGAACCCAAATACCTGTACTTTCTACTTCTTACATGTTGAACACAAATACCTGTACTTTCTACTTCTTACATGTTGAACACAAATACCTGTACTTTCTACTTCTCACATTTTGAACACAAATACCTGAACTTTCTACTTCTTACATGTTGAACACAAATACCTGTACTTTCTACTTCTTACATGTTGAACACAAATACCTGTACTTTCTACTTCTTACATGTTGAACACAAATACCTGTACTTTCTACTTCTCACATTTTGAACCCAAATACCTGTACTTTCTACTTCTCACATGTTGAACACAAATACCTGTACTTTCTACTTCTTACATGTTGAACACAAATACCTGTACTTTCTACTTCTCACATGTTGAACACAAATACCTGTACTTTCTACTTCTTACATGTTGAACACAAATACCTGTACTTTCTACTTCTCACATGTTGAACCCAAATACCTGTACTTTCTACTTCTTACATGTTGAACTCAAATACCTGTACTTTCTACTTCTTACATGTTGAACACAAATACCTGTACTTTCTACTTCTTACATGTTGAACACAAATACCTGTACTTTCTACTTCTTACATGTTGAACACAAATACCTGTACTTTCTACTTCTTACATGTTGAACCCAAATACCTGTACTTTCTACTTCTTACATGTTGAACCCAAATACCTGTACTTTCTACTTCTTACATGTTGAACTCAAATACCTGTACTTTCTACTTCTTACATGTTGAACCCAAATACCTGTACTTTCTACTTCTTACATGTTGAACCCAAATACCTGTACTTTCTACTTCTTACATGTTGAACACAAATACCTGTACTTTCTACTTCTTACATGTTGAACACAAATACCTGTACTTTCTACTTCTCACATGTTGAACCCAAATACCTGTACTTTCTACTTCTTACATGTTGAACCCAAATACCTGTACTTTCTACTTCTTACATGTTGAACACAAATACCTGTACTTTCTACTTCTTACATGTTGAACCCAAATACCTGTACTTTCTACTTCTTACATGTTGAACCCAAATACCTGTACTTTCTACTTCTTACATGTTGAACCCAAATACCTGTACTTTCTACTTCTTACATGTTGAACCCAAATACCTGTACTTTCTACTTCTTACATGTTGAACACAAATACCTGTACTTTCTACTTCTTACATGTTGAACACAAATACCTGTACTTTCTACTTCTTACATGTTGAACACAAATACCTGTACTTTCTACTTCTCACATTTTCCAAACAGGCTGGTTCCTTTAGTTTGAATGTGTGTTTGGTGGCGTGATCATTATTATTTAGAGTCATTGCGTGCCTATTGATTTGAACACGATCCGTGTATCCATCATTTCCTGGTCTTCTCTAAAGAAGAGGGACCAATGAAAACGTTGTCATGTTGCCGTTGTTCAGCATGGAAACATTCATTAGCTAACAATGACATTATTGTTCTATTAATATAAAGGGAGGTCAGGTACTCTTTAAAACAGCTGCTAGTTATGGGTACTTTTTACTGAAGTACATTTCAAAGCCCTCTTTACTTTTACTTGAGTAAAGAAGTTTAGTCAGTACTTCTACTTTCACCAGAGTATTTTTAAACACGAGTATCTGTACGTCTACTTGAGGAAAGGATGTGTGTACTCTTGCCCTCTCTGCTTATCGTCCAGATCTCCTCAACTTATTACACTTTATATTCACTTAATTAACACGTTTTATGGACTAAAACAGTCATCGTGTACTTGCTGTTTCTGGGTGTAAACCATGTGTGTTTTTCCTCGCTTAATGCTTTTTGGTTGTTTTTTCCTTCTCCACATTGAAGCTCAATATTTTAGAGGATGTTGTGGATTAAACTCTGGATTTTAAGTTTTCTATATGAATAAAACGAGTGTTGTAAAGTAACTAAGTAGATTTACTCAAGTACTTTACTTAAGTACAATTTGACATACTTTCTGCTCCACTTCAGTTCAGAGGTAAATGGTGTACTTCTACTCCCCTACATGTATTAATACCTTTAGTTACTTCACAGATGTGGATGAATGATGTGAAATATAATCAAGTGTTAAATCAGACTTTAGTTCCACCTGGAGTAAATCCACAAGCTACCCTGCAGTATACAAAGTCATTCAAACTAGCTGCACCTTTACCAGCTTTGAGAACACTTTCATGATCAATCATTATAAAACATATCATATATATTATTCTGAAATGGACCAATCTGCACAATGACTACTTTTACTGTCGCTACTTTCACTATATTTTGATGAGAATACTTTTCTACTTTTACTTGAGGAACATTTTGAATGCAGGACTTTTACTGTAACAGAGTATTCCTACACTCTGGTACTTCTACTTTTACTCAAGTACAAGATCAGAGTACTTCTACTTTTACTCAAGTACAAGATCTGAGTACTTCTACTTTTACTCAAGTACAAGATCTGAGTACTTCTACTTTTACTCAAGTACAAGATCTGAGTACTTCTACTTTTACTACAAGATCTGAGTACTTCTACTTTTACTCAAGTACAAGACCTGAGTACTTCTACTTTTACTCAAGTACAAGATCTGAGTACTTCTACTTTTACTACAAGATATGAGTACTTCTACTTTTACTCAAGTACAATATCTGAGTACTTCTACTTTTACTCAAGTACAAGATCTGAGTACTTCTACTTTTACTCAAGTGCAATATCTGAGTACTTCTACTTTTACTCAAGTACAAGATCTGAGTACTTCTACTTTTACTCAAGTACAAGATCTGAGTACTTCTACTTTTACTCAAGTACAAGATCTGAGTACTTCTACTTTTACTCAAGTACAAGATCTGAGTATTTCTTCCACCAGTAAAATGAATATATTATCACAATATTAATTGTGACTAAAACACAAACAATCTTCAATGTATTTATTATTGTCCTATTTTGCTTTAATGGTAGAATAGAATTTTACATTTGGTGAATGAAATACAATTATATGAATCGAAAAATCACATCAGCAGTTATGAAAATGAAATTCAAATCATTTGGTCAGCTGACTTTTATGTGTAATTTATTGATTGAATTGATCAGAATTGTTTTTGTAATGATCACATTCTTTTTAAATGAATATTGTTCTCTCAGACTTCTAACTGCATATTCACACACAAGACATGACGCTTTTCCACCAACTAACTACACTTTGTTTAACATATGTTCATGAATGAAGTGTTCATTTATAATAAGACTACAATCAGCTGTTAGTGATGACATCAGCTTCTCTTACCTGCTCTCAGCCAATCAGAGGGCACAGATTTTCAGTCCCAAATAAAGTCTCCGGTACTGAAATATTTTCTCTTTTAAATTCCTGTTCACTGTCTTCTCCTCTGAGCAGTGTGTTCTGTGAGCTCCCAGTGAATACAACCAGTTCCTCCTCTTCCTTCTCCTCTCCCTCCTCCTCTTCCTCGGTGACTCTGCTCTATTTTTGACATGTGCTCTCAGTCCGGTTAGCAGCTGAACTGACCAACGCTTTAAAAAACACAACAGCTGACAACCAGCTCCTCCTCCTCCTCATCTTCCTCCTGATTCAAAGTGTTTTAAATGCAAATGTAACTTCCATTTGATCCAAAAACACAAATGATTCTGAAAGAGAAGAGGCTCTATTCTTCTTCTGTGGTGTTCCCTCTCCTGTCGTGTGTTCTATAGATTTTAGTGCATGTTAACGGTCTGCAGAGGCCATTTTATATTCAGTAACATTTATGGATATCAGATGTTTTTAAATATCCATTATGTTCAGTGCATTCAGTTTTAGTGACATCATGGTGCTGATGGAGACTATTTATTTTATTTTAATGGGAAACATCGCCATCTACCTCTCATCATCGTCCCTTCATGAAACTGCAGAAGAAGAAGAAGTATGATAACCAGAGAAGAAGTACTCAGATCGTGTACTTGAGTAAAAGTAGAAGTACTCAGATCTTGTACTTGAGTAAAAGTAGAAGTACTCAGATCTTGTACTTGAGTAAAAGTAGAAGTACTCAGATCTTGTAAGTAGAAGTACTCAGATCTTGTACTTGAGTAAAAGTAGAAGTACTCAGATCTTGTACTTGAGTAAAAGTAGAAGTACTAAGATCTTGTACTTGAGTAAAAGTAGAAGTACTCAGATCTTGTACTTGAGTAAAAGTAGAAGTACTCAGATCTTGTAAGTAGAAGTACTCAGATCTTGTACTTGAGTAAAAGTAGAAGTACTCAGATCTTGTACTTGAGTAAAAGTAGAAGTACCAGAGTGTAGGAATACTTTGTTACAGTAAAAGTCCTGCATTCAAAATGTTCCTCAAGTGAAAGTAGAAAAGTATTCTCATAAAAATATAGTGAAAGTAGCGACAGTAAAAGTAGTGATTGTGCAGATTGGTCCATTTCAGAATAATATATATGATATGTTTTATAATGATTGATCATGAAAGTGTTCTCAAAGCTGGTAAAGGTGCAGCTAGTTTGAATGACTTTGTATACTGCAGGGTAGCTTGTGGATTTACTCCAGGTGGAACTAAAGTCTGATTTAACACTTGGTTATATTTCACATCATTCATCCACATCTGTGAAGTAACTAAAGGTATTAAATACATGTAGTGGAGTAAAGTGCACATTAGCATCTATTATCTCTTGTAATATTTACATTCCATGAGAATATGACATCGTTAATGAGCTTTTTGTACTTTATTTATATTGTACATACTCTCCAGCGTGTTTGAGTATGTATTTATTGAATATACTAACATGTATGCATCTTAAAAGCAGCATTAATATCTGTCAAAATATAAAGTTGGCAGACTCCAGGCTCTTTCAGTAAGCTACTAAACCCACCCTGATCAAAACAATGGACTTCCGGAAATAACCTTCAAAAATAAAAGCATGGTGACGCTTTAGTTGTACATAATTGTAATTAACAGGGGTGTAAAGTAACTAAGTACATTTACCAAAGTACTGTATTCAACTACACTTTTAGGGTACTTGTACTTTAGTTGAGTACTTCCATGTTATGCTACTTTGCACTTCTTCTGACTCTTCTAACTACATATTTATCCTTATTGTATTTGTATTCTTATCCCATGTGTATATTCTCATGTGTACTATCTGTGTTTCTGTCTTATCCTGTTGCTGCTATGACACTCTAGCAATCAATGAAGGACCATCTTATCTTATCTTATCTTATAGAGAATGTTTGTGTGAAATACACTTGACACTTTGAGCTTTTATTTTGAAGGCTCAGTTGTCAGATCTCCGGTAGTTTGGCCGTTGTTGTGGTGCGTTTCTAGCCGAGGATCGGAGCTCCAGTCCCGGCAGCTTCATAGAGCCGACCCGCTGCCCCGGGTCTCAGATGAGAGCAACTCTATCATCTGAGGAATGGAATAAACATGGCCCACAACCGCAGCTTTCTCTTTGAAGGTACGCCATGACACCCAGTCGTGACACTCCGATCGACCATCTGACATGTTTTACCCGCACACAGAGCTCCGAATTCGGCTTGCAGGAGGTAGATTTTAGGGTAGAAATTATGGAGTTCATTGGGAGCTAAGTGGCTAACGTTAGCTTCATAGTATGTAGCTCAGTGGGAGCTAAGTGGCTAACGTTAGCTTCATAGTGTGTAGCTCAGTGGGAGCTAAGTGGCTAACGTTAGCTTCATAGTGTGTAGCTCAGTGGGAGCTAAGTGGCTAACGTTAGCTATAGTGTACGGAGCTCAATGGGAGCTAAGCCGCTAACGTTAGCTTCATAGTGTACGGAGCTCAGTGGGAGCTAAATGGCTACCGTTAGCTTTATAAGGCTTTTTTTTAAACATCATCTGCTAGCCGGGGTGTTATTAGCACTTACAGGCCGGTGACAGTGCCACATATTCGGGCCTTAGATGGGGAATATTGTACATGGATGGGGGGTTTTGGTCCGGCTCGGTTCGGTTGATTTTAAACTAAATATTTGGTCATGAAAGGTTCAAGTTAGCACCGTTAGCTAAGCTTCAATATGATGGTTAACAGACAGCGGAGACAGACAGGCCTTCCTGCCTTTTGCTTCACTGTTAGACATCACATTAACAACACATAAACACTTAAATAATAAAATAATAAAACATTAAGTGACACCTACTACTAGTCTCCAAACTAGCATGCTAACTCCATAGCTTCAAGAATTAGCTGGCTGGCATTAATAGTCATTGTAAACAGAAATGTGTCATGCTGTTTCTGGCATTTTTTTACCTAATTGTAACAAAACATTAATATATTGATAAGAATCAGCAGTTAACCAGTGTATCCTTAAAAGCATAGGCAAGAAAATAAAGACATTATCATTCAAACATGTGAGTTTAAAGATGCTACAGCAATTATACAGAAATCTTGAAGATCACAATTAACTTTTATAATCTTATTTCAGTTGTCCCTCCTCCAGCCTTTTACTTTGATTAGGTGTAATGTGTATTTCTTAATAAGGTACAAGTACAGAAAACACTGTGTCCTATGTCTGTACTTTATTCATCACTACGAACATGTTTCTTTCAAAAACTCCATGAAGCTTCCCCAGATATTTTCACAAACTGACTGAGCTTGTGTAATGTCTAATCGTTTTTCCAAAGTAACACATGTTGATCAACCCTTTTTATATCTTGTCACATTTTCCCGTCCTTCAGCTAATTGCTTTCTTATCTTCAGAAACAGGTCTATAAGTGCATGATCACTCATCTTAGTTCATACAATACTGGGATAAATGATTCCCCGAATGCCCAACTCCTCAGTTTTCTTTATCTGGTAAACCATTGGTTCACATTTTAAGTTTAAGGCTACGCATTACAAAAAACTAATAATTGAGGATATTAAAAACATGTTATTGACAGGCTCACCGGCCCATAGACATACAGAAGAAGTGCTTATCTTGGTATAAGATTTTACTACTGCGATGTGAGAAAGCAAGGACAAAGCTTTATGCATAATTGTCTGTTTTTAAAGGTTGACGTCTTCAGTATGAAGAAACAAATGGACTTGGACCTCAGACAGGAAGTCAGGAAGAACTAAGAGAAACACATTGTTGGTTTTGGACTTGGATTTTTCTACTTTGGAGAGGACGAACCTGTTTGATATTTCAGGGTTTTGTCTTGTTTTAACTACTTTTAGTGTAGGTTATATATATTCCTCAAATAGAAAGCAATAGTGTGTTAGTTTCACCTCTAAGCCAAGTCAGCACGAAGTGAAATGTCTAAAAATAGAGGCAATAATCTCATTTCATGTTTTACCGTCTCGTATAAGAGGTATTTATTGCACAAATATTATTGACAAACGTTGGCAGCGTCACATTTCTCAAATGATCGACACTCGTATATTACAGACAAATGTAGGAGTTGTACAAGGCGTTAGTATTCATGGTTTCAGAGTGTTTTGTTTGGCTAAACATGTATTATTAATTATTAATACCCTGACCAAGGAGGTTGGTTAGTTGGTAAGTATTTTCTGTTCAGTCTCATAATACACACATGCACACAGAAGGATCCACACTTGTGTTTTTCAATGCACACACAAATGTGTTCCGTTTCATATTCATGTAAATAAAATCCAAATACAGAAAAAAGTTTTACATATTTTTGATCCTCACATATTTGTTTTCCGTTTAAATCCCCTGAACCTGCAAACACAACCCGCTCTCTGTGCATGGATCGCTGTGCATTCGTGTGTGGGTTTTTTGAGACTCCCCTGACGGTGACCCGATTCGTACTTGTAATTTGTTCTATCTATAGCCAATCAGATGTCTCCTCAATTCTAAGCCAATCACATGAGCGCGTCCCCACAAGGGTAGATTTCTTGCGTTCATGTCACTTCATATACGCATTTTGCACTGTCCGGAGCTGGGTTTCCGCAGACAGAATTTATTTTACCGGACAAATTTGAAATGTACCGGTCATATTTCAATAATAATAATAATAAGAAGAAGAATTGTGTGACAGAGTTTCCATTAGCAGGTAATTACCGGACTATGACCGGATATGGATAATAACACGGGAGTAAGGATCATCTCTTTTGTCCTCTCTCCCTCCCTCTCTCCTGACAGCCCGTCAGTTTCTCATGCAGCTCGCTAAAACTTCACTCGCGTTTATGTCCATATGGATCAGATCCAGCTCTCCTGATCGGCCTTTATAGAGAGCACCGATCAAACTATTAAGAGTGAATATCGGCCGATAATGACCGGCGGGGCTCCCCCCGTTGACAGTTCACTGTCTAGCACTGGCTTCGTAGTGCACTGATCGATTAGGCTAAGCTAACCTGTAGCTGCTCCCTCCACACTCACAACAACTTCATACAGACATCAATAAAGCAGCTGTATTTGCCATACAGGAAACACATTTAAAACGGTTTTGCCTGCCGTTTTTGTGTACACAACCATTCATTAATGATTCGGAAAGTGGCACTGTACCTTAATAATA